CTTGATCAACATTAGAGCACAAACTTTGGGTTTCGATAGTAGCAGATGGTAGAGGTCGTGATCGGTAAATAACTTTTCAGGGAACTCTAAAGGAATTGTAGAAATGTACAGGCCGATGTTATTGTTGTCTCTTGCAAGGAGTAAGTGTAGTTCTCTTATTTTTAGTGAATTTCCTCGCATCTGGAGATTCGGATGGGCGCATAGCAGTATGGCAGCTGTCTGATACGCCAAATGTTGCACCTGCCATAGACGATTTACCTCCTAACAAAGAGAACTGGGTCCGAATTAGAGTACGTGGTGTATATTACAGTTTTTTTTCTGTGTGTCATTTGCCATTGTTCGATATGTGCGCGAGCTCACCTGGGAATAGTTGATACCACCTTTCCTATCTCCAACATATCCCGATCTTCTTCGATTTCAACTTTTTTTTTCGGAGAAAATATTTGCTTAGTAGAGTAGTAGAGAACACATTGACGACAGCCCCTTGTGCGTGTACCTCGGCACCTTTTTGTTTTTTTTTCACAATCATCAAAACTTTTTCAATAATTTCACTACTGGTGATTGATGCACAGTTTTTCGGATGAGATAATGCATGCACACTGTTCTGAAATATGAAAAATGCCAGATAAATCAAAAAAAACTAGCCAGAATCGGGTGAAATTGACGCGCAACCGCGTCCCACTGTCGTCAATGTGTTAATCAGACTTCTGTATCCGTGCAGTCCCTCCATTCAGTCTTTTGCTGATCCATTGCAAAACCAATCTCTTGTGCTCTTACCAGTGATTACGTGGTGTTCGGTACAATCAGCTCTTTGAACCTATCCTTAGCATGTATTGCGTTGTATTTATATCCTTTTTAAAAGCTTCCTCCGTTTTCATTTGATCCACTTCAACGACTTGGCCTCCTCTACTTGTGAGTACTCGTTGCTCATCTCTGCGTTCATTTTTGCTTCCTTTACAGCACGCTAAAGCAACCTAAAACAAGTTCCCCCTTTCCCGATTGTTTAAGATTGTAGTCTGCGAACATTGCCGGAGTGATGAACTTGTGAGCTCTCTGAAAAGACGAGCTTGAAAGCACTTTTATAGGTCATGCCAATAAGTGAACCTTCCAACCATGGTCAACCATCACGTTCGCGCTTTTTCAAAATTTGCTACCCCCCCCCCTCAAGGGGATCTCGATTCAATACCACCATCACTCTTAGAAGGCTGTCCCAGTACGATCCCCCGTCCCCCTTACCACCACTCTCACCATCATGGTTGTTTCTATAGTACTTGATTCGGAGACTGAGACCGATGTCTCACATCGTTGTTATTTCCATAAGTATACTTTATTCGGATTGGAGTCCGGAATTGGACAAGCTAAGTTACACCGCTATGTTCTTTAACACATCTTTTTCTTCCGCAATGGCTGTCTAGGGACGGGGGGAGGGGGGACAAATTGGTATCATTGAGCGGCAAATCCACCAATTTTGCCTAATTCTCACTACCTCTGTGGAACTTGCACCAAATACGTCAAAAAACCCTTCCGAGCACAACCCCTGTAACAACTACGATATCCTTACTCAACCTCCAAAATGTGATCCCCTTTCCGAAATCACAAATGCGACCCTCTCGTTCGAATAGTGCGAATGGACGGTTGATCCTGGTTCTGACCCCCCAAGGATTTGAGTGTTGCTTTGATGTCGACTATTTCACTGCTTTTCAGATTTTGAATCACGACAGCGAAGTCACAAGCGTTGCATGGAGCCCTGATGGTAAACTTCTTGCTTCAGTTTCCAAATGACGAGTCTCTTTTGGTACACGATGTGACAACAGGTATACAGTACAATAGAATTTGTATTGCTTACGTCTAGTAACGTTCAAAAGACTACCATTCACAGGCAAGCGATGTGTGACAGTCCGCAACCTAAGGCACTTCCCTAATGGTGTAGCATGGGATCCTAAGGGAAGATATCTTGTAACAATGTCAACTGATCGCAAAATGGATATACTAGATGCAACCAAAGGTACTCGGTTACGGATGTTTGGAGTGTCCGCTTTACCAGCAGTCTCCATTGGTGATGTACCTCTGGAACATAAGGTTTACTTTTTTATTAATTCTTTTTATTTTTTCGTGATTTTATATTTCTTATGCTTTTTTACCTCCCATTTATCTTCTCGGCATGGAAGAGTCTTGGTTAGGAAGTACAATATTTATCTTCTCGGAATTTCGGAATCATAAGGGGGACGTTTGGTGCCAAAGTTGCTGCATCATTGTAAAGCTAATTCTATGTGCCATTTTCGGTTGACCATGGGTTGCATAACTCTTCTCAATCCTGTTGTCTTCTTTAAAATTTTAGCTGCTTCTAAATGTGGCTAGGAAGTACAATATTTTCCATCTGCATTGGCAGCACAAGTGAATGGTGCATGAGCAAATTTATGACTTTATTTGCACAAGATAACTTCATAATAGCAGCGAACCAAGAAAGAAACTGCAAGAGAGCGAAAGCAAAACGTAAAAGGAGCGCTAGACTCCTAGGCCTCTCCTTGAATAGTAATTCGCTATAATTGGTTACTGGTAAATGCAACAACTAGAATGAGGCGTCTAGCAATTGATAAAATGATAATCTTCGTATTTAAAATTGTAAAAGTAGTAAAGTTCAATGCTGAGTTAGGATGAAATGGTGCCCGAGAAATGTAAACGGAACACATTTGCAGGGTGAACAAGAATTGCGGGTTCGAGTTCCTCTTGCAGTGAAATGTTTTACCCATACCCAGCCGTTGTGATGATAATCTCCCGGTTTTGATTGGGATAAATTGTGAGAGGTCATATTTATAAATGTTCAGGTCTACAAACTTTTCCATGACGATCAGCTGATGAGTTTTCAACGAGGGGTGGCTTTTTCACCATGTGGACAGCTCATAATTGCTCCGTGTACGTTTTCATGAAACAGTATGTCTTGTGCCTTATCATTATGACAGCGAATTGCAGGTGCGAATCTGGAAGTTCATACTCATGAACTTTTCGGAACGTATATCTTCAAAAGGAGTGAATTAGAAAGGTTACTTTTTCACCCGTGCCGCGATCTGATGATCTTCATATCATTTTCTAGCACTTTTCAGCGATAAACCGTTTGCTTTTCTGCCATGTCCAAAAGCTACATTTCTAATAAGGTGCTGCCCATTATTAATGACCCTTCAAAAGGATACAGAGAACTATACAGGGTAAGTAGCCTTCTTGCTTTTGTTCCTTTCAGGTTATTGCATAACTACATTTTTTATTAAGGCTTCCATATCGAATATTATGGTTGGCCCTTACCAAGGATACTGTATATTTATACGACAGCCAGCATCCTAATCCGATCGGTCTTGTGGAGAATATACAGTACAATAGTTTAACAGATGCCGCTTGGAGTGCTGATGGAAAGAATATCATAATTTCGTCACTAGAAGGATATTGTACATTCCTGAAACTCACTGTCGAACAGTGGGGATGCACGGTACCATTTGCTCTCTTACTGTGAACTTATTTTTCCATCAAAAGTTAGTTCCCACTTACAAGTATGAGTTCAGATCGAAAAAGAGCAGGTAGAGGAATGTCCACCTTCTCCACAACTTATCCAAACAAAGAAAAGGAAACCCAGGGAGAAGAAAAACAAAGGTAGTTAAGCATCCTTAGCTTTTCTTCTGCAACTTACAGCTGTTGCGGCCCCTGCCTTTAAGTGGCAAAGAATCCTGCTACTGTTTTCTTTTTCTTTTTCCTCTTTTTTCCGTTGTTGTGGAATTTGAACATTGTTTCCGACTATCAACTGTTATTCAGTAGTGATCAAAGTGCTCAAACCGACTTTCAGAGAGTAAAAATGAAGAGAACTGTGCGACACCGGCGCCAGCACCTAAAACGACGCCTCTACGGCCAGCACAACCTCAGGTGACCACACCGAGATCAGGGAGCCTTTTTCGATATCTCCAAACGAAGGGTGAAGAATCCCCTCGCTCCGCTACCGAACCAGGGAGTCCCACTACTCCGTCAAGGTAAGGAATTTACATTCTTCGAATGTATAGGATACCATACGACACCATATTTCCACTCTCTTATTAGAGCCCCTTGGAATTACCTGGTGGCTTTTTTCGCAGTAACCATATTAACGCTTCCCATACAAAAATTACGTACCGTGACACTGAGCAACATACCTCATGCAATACATGAAACTTATCAGTGCACAATTTCAGGCCGATCGTTGACGATTCCGTGAACCCTCCGAAAGTGAAGAAGAGAATTCAGCTAATTACATTGACAGAATAGCCAACATGTTTGTATGATGTCAAAATTCCCAAGATTCATTAATATTTTTTATTGTGCTTGATCTCACAAAGATAAAAAATCTACAATGGGAATGAAATTTTTGTCGACTTCGGTGGCTTCGTCACATATCCGAGAAAGGGTTGCTCCCTCAGCGTGCGCCGCATCAACATCAAACGTCCTCCTCGTGTTTTCAAACGAGCTTCTATTGTTTCCGTGTTGAGCTTCTCTCGTAGCTTGAAGGGAAAGAAGCATGGGCGAAAATTGTTGCGGTGCCATGGACAGTTCCATCGAATGCTCATCTGTCGAGTTAACGTTGTACGCAGTAATTGTCCGATCATACTATCTGAAAAATAAATACAATGATATAACAAGCTTGAGACATTAAACAACAACAAGTGACACGTGGTCCTGCTCCCAGGTTGAGCTCGCTTCGTTGAGATTTGAAAAAATTGATGATGAGAAAAAAGCTCTATCATAGAGTATTGGCTTAACCCTTTGACGACCGCCGTTGTGCGTGCGTCACTTCATTTCTTTTTAATTTTTTCATCAATAGTCATAACTCTCCAACAATTTCATTATTAGTAATGAGCACATTATTTTGCGGATTCGATAATGTATATGGGCAGTTTGAAACATATAAAAATGCAAATAAACCACGAAAAACGAGTCGCCACCGAGTGGAAGTGTGGCCCACCGGCGGGCCACACGGTCGTCAAAGGGTTAAAGGAGTAATCCACGATAAGAACGAAGGTCAAAGAAGAGAAAAATTGCATAGCTGGAAGATAGGCGGGGCTGATCAACGCGCAATTGGCAGCGAAAGATTGACCTCGGCGATCTAGCATGGCTCACTCTTGGCGCGGTTGGCGGGGTACGCCCACCGACTTCAGGTCTATACGTGGCGAGTGATTAGATAGCAGAGAGAGAGCGTAGTGTTGAAGAGGGCACAGCGATGAGAGTCGCATCAATGCGCAAATCAACGGGCAAGGAAGGGGTCCCATTTCTCGGGTTTCGGGCCGTTTCAAATGTTTCTTCTTCATCCCTGCTCCACTGACCACCTCTACCCTTATTTCCAATGAGCTAACTTTTCATCGTAAATTCTGCCTTTAAGTAAAATGGGAGATTCATGAGAAGAGTT